CCTCTGAGCTCGGCCATCCAGCCACTTCTCAATCCACCTCACCGTCCACTCATCTAGCCCACACTTCCTGAGCTTGCCTAGGAGGATGTGACGGGAGACAGTGTCAAAAGCCTTGCTGAAGTCCAGGGAGACAACATCCACTGCTCTCCCCTCATCTACCCAGCCAGTCTTTCCATCATAGACAGCTATCAGATTGGTCAAGCATGATTTCCCTTTGGTGAATCCATGCTGACTACTCTGGACCACCTTCTTGTCCTCCACATGCTTAGTGATGTCCTCCAGGAGGAGCTGCTCCATCACCTTGCCAGGGATGGAGGGGAGGCTGACAGGCCTGGAGTTTCCTGGCTCCTCCTTCTTGCCCTTTTGGAAGACTGGGGTGACATTGGCTTTCTTCCAGTCCTCAGGCACCTTTCCTGATCTCCAGGACCTTTCAAAGATGATGGAGAGTGGCCTAGCAATAACATCCGCCAGCTTTACCACAAGACTTTTTTTTTTTTTTCTAAATTAAAAGGTGTTTATACATTCTGTTCAGTCCTCTGACCAAGAAAGTAATGCTGGAACTGCACAGGAAAGAACAGTTGAACAAATCAACTCTTCTTCCTCATCTGTGCATCAGCACACAAAAGCAGCTAATCTGAGCCTTACACTGGACTAAGCACTACTCTTTTGAACCGGATTATCCCTCCTTTTTTCAGAAACTATAGTGTGGCTGGAGAGGGAAGTGTACAATGCAATGAGAAAGCTAACACACACAAGCTTCATATCAGCTCCCTTGCCCTCCATAATTCTAGCTGCAAAGACTCTGCAGAATTTGAAAGTGTTCACATACAGTGAAAAGTGAGGTTCAGAATATCCTCCTTATAGGATAACATGCATGTGGTAACATGGATTTTTGGTCATCAGAGATTCTGGCAAAGAAAGGAAGCGTATCCCATGATCCATATCTGAAGCAGGTCTTTTGTACCTACAGCCACCTGTAGCAGGGACCTAGAAATTGGAACGGCTACTTCAGTTCAGAAGCTTGAGAAGTTGCACGGCTAATGTATGAAGGTGACAAATACCTTAATAATGCGTACTACCAGATACCTACGCAAAGTTTCAATTACAGAATTTAAAGCATACAACAGTTCCACTTTTAAGGATAGGAAATTACAGTGGTAATTCATCTAAGGAACTCAGTTGCTTACATAGGCAAGTGACAGTGTAAAAAAGAACACCAAGAACTTCCAATTTTGCAGCCACCATTGCACCCAAGTCCCCATGTCAAACTTTCTTAGATAGAAAAACATCCTTTTCTTGAGTGGCAGAAGAATATTCCACAATCCAATGACGTTTTCTTTATCAGCAAGCCCTATGAATCACCATGACCTCCTCTACTCTGTATCATACTTGCCATGTAGGGGAAAAGATTGCAAATCATCTGCCTGCAAACGCAGTTTCAAGTTACACAGTTTTTAAAAAGCCACACGTAGTGTTCTGTCCAGCCGTGCAGAACTTGTAGTACTATGCGATCTGCCTAAATCAAACAGGAAGAAGAAATCCATTCCTACTCAGGAATTCCTCTGTACTGCCAACAGCCTTACAGGACAAAGGATTTCAACAAGGCTCTTTCTTGCTGAAATAAATTGTTACCTGTTGCTACCATTACCAAAGGTCCTATGTTCAATAAAATCTCAGTTTTGGGGTATAGCACACACCAACAAAAAAAAAAAATCAGCTCGAGAATACGGCTATGTAAGCAGCTGCTTGTAACTTTCTGTTAGCATCTGATGCTTCTCTTTAGCCATTGTCTGTGTATATGCACGACTAATGCTTTATTGGATCACCTTTTTTTTTTTTTTTTTTTTTTTTTGGCAGTGTAAGAAGTTGAATGCAATTCTTCCTCATTGCAATTTTTCAAATTAGTAGCAAAAAAACAAGTAACACAGACCACTGATTTCTGCCAAGTTAATTATCCTTGATAGAACTGAATTTTAACCTCATCACTGTCTCAAGTAGATTGAATATTTTACTAAACAAAGCCGTTTATGCCATTGGAACAAACACATAAATATTACCCTCAGTGTTATAGTATAAAATAATTTTAAAGACAATCACCTATTTCCATTGTAACCAATACAAACTCTGATTTGAAGATTTTTGAAACTTAAGAAAGCGCTCTGACAGTACTATCTTACTTTTAAGATCAGTGGCTGGTTCTACAGTATCCCATTAACTTACAGGCACCCTTATGGTTGTATGCAATTGCAGTTGAAATGTTAAACATGAACATTACTCATATGGCAGGGTCTACCTATCTTCCCAAAAATTAAGCACCTCCGTAAACATTTGTGGAGAATTTACATAGAACGAACTGTTCTTTTCAAAATATTTATCCTCTGTAACAGGGTTATTATTCAGTTTAAATCAAAGGCCAATAAAAATCCATTAACACAAACAAATTATTGAGCAATGACAAAATAAACATGAAAAAAAAGTCAGAAAAGACAGTGTTTTAAATAATTCAATTAGATTATCCTTTGACCTATAAGCCAAGCCTACCAATGGGTAAAAGCCCGAATTTTCAAAACTGGTATCCAAATATCCAATATCCAAATTCAGTTCACCACCATTTAACTGCCAAATTTGTGACAGCTGTGGGATTATTTTTATAAATGCCAAACAACAGAAGGTCCTGGTGATCGCTACTGATACTCAGCATCTCTAGCTTTCCCCAAAATTATACAGAGAACCTCTCAAGATATCCCAAAAGGGAGGATTGCAAAGATATACATGCAGATCCCACATTTGAACTTGCGGTTTTGTACATTCTGTTTTAATGTGTAAAATTAGATTTTGTAAAACATAGAACACTGGATGCCACATTAAAAAGAACTTAACGATTGTGATCCTTTTCTCCTATAGCATTACAAGGGAGAGTTTCACACACAACGTTTAAATACAGATTTGGAAATGAACATTCTTAAAAGAAAAAATAAAAAGGAAGAGTATTGGATTTAGAGGTTGGGTTTGATTCCATGCATTTACTATGCATCTTATAAACTATGATTGAATAGGTAAGTTTAATTTACACCATTTGAACGGCTCTCAGTCATTCTAAGCTGTGCTAAGCACAATGGCAGAACAACATTCACAAAGAAAAGGAGAAAATTTGGAGGAAAGAAGCCCATCGTAAACCCAAATCGATATATGCAACACAAAATGGATTAATTAGTCTTAAGAAGTGGTGGATAAACATTTGCAAATCCAGATTATTTTTTCCTGTGCTTTTTAGAATGTTTTGAAACATCAATATTATCCTCAAGGCCTTGATATCAAATTTCAACATAAGTTTTAAATCAGTATCATGCATCAAGAAAAACTGAAGAATAATTTGATGCATCATGAACAGCACTAAGCATTCTGTGAATCTTCCAGGATGCACACAAAAGATTGATGACATTTCTGTAGAGCAGTATCTCTTCACTTCAAGCAGTTTTTAGCTGCTTGCAAGAGTTGCCCATTAGAAACTCATTCTACAAATATTTTTTATCCACTCTGACCCAGAAGAGAACAGAAGCTGTTTACTCCTCAGTTTATAGCCAGCTTTTGTAGTGCTGTAAATTCCTGTCTGCCTAACATACAATAACCTTTGCTGACTTCAAGTCTTTAGAGCATCTTTTCTTGAAAGCTGCAGTGAATTTTTCAAAAAAACACTTAGTGGGTTCTATCAGTTGCACATGATGGTTCAAACTGATGGTTTTGAAATGGTGTTATCCTGATAAGAAAAGGCTGCTTATTTAGATTTGGCAGTTTACTAGTTACAATTTCTGAGGAAAAGTTGATTCCTTACTTCCTTTCTTTATCAGCCTTTTACAGTTCTGAGTCCATCCTCCCCCCCCACACCAACGTTACAATTTTGCCATAAAAATCAGTCATCTCAGAACTATTTTATATCATAACCTTTAAATTGGGCCTATGCTGTAACATTTTCTGGACTTCTCATTTGTCTACAAATTTTTCTGTAAATGTATTTTGGGTGTACAAGTACCAGAATTTAATCACTTTCCTCCTTGCAGTGAAATCAACGATTCTTTCAGGCTACTGATATTTCCCTAGAGATTACCCCTCATGAGAGGGAAATGACTGCCTCCTAGGAGGAGGACAATACAGAATCACACTTGACAAATCACTTTCTCTGGAAGGAACCAAATTCCGGGTTAGGCAGAGTTCTCCACATGGGCAGCAAAAGCAAACCAAACTTCTAATATAAAATCCTTAATTCATAATTACTTCCCTCATAGGAACACAGTACAAGTACAAGTAATTCACTGCTTATAATCTTTTCCCCCAACTTTTGAGTTTAAAAGGCTTTTATATAGCAGTTTCTTCAGTTTATCTATTTCCAACCAGTTTATTTCATAAGCTGTGTATCAAGGTAGTGCTGTGAAATGGAAGCAGAGTAGTTGCTGATTTTTAAAAGACTTTAAAGGCCAAAGGCCTGTTTTGTACTGGAAGTTAGACTAAATCGTAACAATATTTTTTTCTATCTATATTATTTGCATAACTGAGATTTGGTGGATATGTTACTGAACTTTCACAGCTTTTATCCAGCATCCAACTGTTGGGACTAGTAAAGATATAGAAATAACACTGAATCACTTCTGACACCCTTCACTACAAACTCCCCATTATTTTGGGCCCACATTTGTCTTCCTCAACCAATCACGATGACAAAGTCTGTTATTGTCAAAGTCAGTATTTTAAACAGAACTAACAGTCTTGCAGCCCTGACAGGACATATAATGACTATTCATTTTTATTTGAGCTGCGTGACTTTTTAGAGGGTACAGAACACAGACTGACACCTCTTTACAGTTACATGCATCTCAAGTCCAGTCCTACACCCGTTCATTCACGCAACATAACTGGCTTTGTTTGGTTTCCCCACATGGGTCAGAAATAGGATTCATGCCCCTTCCATGCAAATCATGAAGGAGAAATTAATGTAATTTACTTACCGAAGGATTTCTTTCCGAGTGAAGAATGTGCAATCCTATTAAAAAAGAAAATATATTACTAAACTATAGAAATATTAAAAATAACTACAAGAAATTACTTTTTAACCTTTTGGAAGGATACATAAGTCTAAATTCAGATCGGGCAGAAAAACTTTAAAGATACTATTTATGTATTGTCTAGTTTTGGCTCAACGTAACATATCCTAGAAAAATAATTGAAATATGAAGTCTCCTAAGGACAGGACAATTAGGAAAAAAAAATTGGTCAGTTAAAAGTTTGGGAGAAAAAAAAAAAAAATCAGTTTGTTGTAATACTTCTCCACTGTGGGATGACCAGAACAGAAAAGAAACTAAAACCAGAAATAAGTAATACACCAAAACTTTAAATAAATAGATCTACAAAACCATAAATAATGAATAGATGTATAAAACTATCTTCTAACTTGAAACATTCCCCTTATAAACAGATACAACTGTTTTAATATTAATTGCTAAGCAGTTACTTTTTAGTCATTAACTCTTTATACTAAAAACTGCTTCGCATTATCTCTACTTTGGTCTAGGCTGCAAAATCCCATGCATTAGGACCTGAACAAATCTGGATTAAAGTACAGCTCCTGCTTCAAACAGTATGTGAATTATTCAACTTTTGCTGTCATATCACAGAATTTAAAAAAAATTTACTGGAATGCAAAGTAAAGATGGATGAATATGTAAGAAAAGCTTACAAACATTCACTTGCATTCTGAATGGCTCTGTGGTTTGACTGCATTTGCACTGTTTTAATTCACTTTTTGATCGTTTGGGCTTTGCTAGGAAAATGTCACTTCACAAAAAAATAATATGGGCAGTGGAACACTTTACATTTTTCTGCCTCACTCACAAAAGGAACTGTACTGTTTGTGAGGAATCGTAAGTAGTAAAACCCCATTAATGGAAACATCCTCTGATCACCACTATCTCATTTAGCACATATTAAGGGCAAATTCTTCCCTGTGTCCAGAACTAAAAAAAACTCTGCTGGTAATGTAATATTGGGTGATCAGTTTAGAATAGAGTTTAGGACAAAAATTCAGAGAATAAGCATCTTTTTGTCATACAGCTAGTGGCTGATGAGGCTATACATAGGGTATGAAGGATGGCATTGTGGTTAAAACACAAAATTCATGCTGATTATCCACTTCTCCCATAGGCCTAGATGATGGGGTAAGGCATTGGTCTAAGAATTCAGCCTGTAGTTTTTATCCTTTAATGTAAGTATATTTAAAAGGTATCATATTTTTGGAATCAGCTAGTGGCACGATAACTACATCCGACTTGTTAAGTGATGCTTACAGCATGTAAAGCTAGTATGACTCCCCAGTCCTGCTCTTCAGTCAACCAGTGAAAAAGCATTTCATTCCTAGGCTGAGAATCATTCTAGTTAAATGCCTACTTCTTCCAGGGAGGGGAAAGCAAATGATCACAGCTGGCTGAAGCAGTCAAGCTGCTTGTCTCGGGTATCGAGGTACGCTAGCAAACCTGCATGGTATCAATTATTGAGTTTGCTTGCTCTCCTCCATATAAAGCGGTAGGAGAAGCAGCTTTTCCCCTAGTGTACTGTGTAGCAGAATAGTGTTACAAGGCACAATAGGAAGGCACCTTGTGAGCTGCTGACAATGATGTCACATTGTCTGGAACTGCACAAAGTGAAATAGGAGCCAGCTAGTTAAGTCTCCATTAATTCCAGCACGTTCAACACTTACAGTAAAACTGTCACTTAAGGATGTTTCATTTACTAATGAAAGGCAGGTGCACTCTCACAAATAATTGTAATGCTCTCAGTAGCAATCATCCTGTAATTATATAGGCTTGAGAAAACAGTAGACACTGTTACTTAACTAGAAAGCTGACAGGGAATTGATACGCAGATGTACATAAAGATGAAAGAGACAAGTCACCCTTTACCTTCCAGAAATTTTGCAAAAATATCACTGGAAGACACAATTAAGAGGTCATTGAGTTCAATGTTTATAAAAATGTTTATAAAAATTTTTTGCTGAAGATCTGCATCACTTTTTTTTTTTTTTTTTTTTTCCTTCAAATCTGTGCATCACTTCACTACTGTTTGGCAATAGATGTCTGACAACAAACTATCTAGCACTTTGGTAAACAAGCCTGTACCATTTACTCAAACAAAAAATTTTTACTACTGTAATCTAAAAAAACCCTGAATTTGAAAACACTTATAACAAAAGAGAAATCAATGTAACCCTATATTTGCCTACATACACGTCTGAACGTTCTTACTGACTGCAGTATTTCAATTATGCCTGCCAAATGTCCAAAAAAACAAAAACAAAAAAAAAAGGCAGTGGTTTCACACACCATTTGCAGAGATCTCAAAGCTATCCATGGTCATAGCACCACAAATTAAGCAAGAGTGACATAGTCTATCCTGTTGACGAAAAGTAAGATCATACATACCTTTAAGAAATGCTTTGCCATTAAGAAGCCTATCAGATCTTGAACAGCAAACGTAAAAGTTATGACTCCACGCTACCTCTGAAAGGGAAGTCCAGCCATCTCTTTCTTGCCCTGGCTTCTTATTTCTGCCTCTTCCTTTATGCTGACTTCATGCAGACAAGTAGTATAACTACACCTGAGAACTCTGGCTAAAGGAACTAATGTGGCTGAAAACTAACCTAACAGAAAAGGATTCATTTTCAGGTTGGACCAGTTCCTTTCTGCGGCTTAGTATATTGCCTCAGTAACGCTAGTGCTGGTAAAAGAGAGGAAGCTAGAACAAGTATCTGCTGATGACAGGAAAGAAGTGTAAGATTGCTGTTTTTGTTGGAAGCACAGGCATAAGTTGGATTAAGGTCATGGAACAAGGGTCTAAATAATATAATTACATTTTGTAGTTGCTGGAACTCTAGCAATTTAATTCCGATTTAATTAAAGACTTTTGGCCAGAGAAACATGGAGGTGAATCATCCAATTTTCTTCTAGCAACTTCATTCATACAGAAAATGCACAATGATGGACAATAAATAGTAAACTAGCATGTTAATTTAACTCTTTCATTGGGAAAGGTGAAATGGGTCGTGAAAAATCATCTGTAGTTTATGCACATGGTGCTATTGATCTTCTTTCAAGCCAGAAATTCAAATTTAACAGGAAGATATACAAGTGTACTACAAACTTTAAAAGCAACCTGTCTATTCTGCTTGGTTATCAAAGCTGCTGGGAATCCTGCCAGAAAAGCAAAGGCTAAATATTCAACAAATGTATGTCGCCATAATTTTCACAATTTGTACCAACTCAAGATTTCTGGCAGAAATTTATCCTGAGAGTTGTGGCTTTGGATTTCTAATGTCATACAATGGCCTGAAAAAAACCTATGCTAACTGGAGATGCCCCTGCAGATTTTAGGCTATCTAGAATCAAGACCTTGCCCTGAAAGGTCGCTTACTCCAGCCCCTGAGAAAATACATGCTCCTTTTCTAAGATCAACTGTCCCACTCAGTCTGTCCTTGTTCCCTTAATAATCAAGTTAGAGCTCTGGTAAAAAGGATCACTGCTGTCTGTTAGAGGTAAGACGTCACTTAAACAAGGCTGCAAATATCTTCCTTATGTCTACCAAAATCAGTGAATGTAATAAAGTAAATAAATTTCCCATTGATTTCAGTGACATCATGAGCTTGTATAATGGGCTCAATTCTCAGATCTGGCATTTACTGAGCTTAACTGGTTCTCCTTCTTGAACCTATTCTGTAGTAAAGAGAAGAAAGTTAGACAACTGGTGCTCTTAAATTCTATGTGAGGTTTTGCTCTTGGCTGGCTGTGTAACCTTCTGCAAGCCACCCAACACTGCTTCTAAAGTAGAGTTAACGGTCTCTGCTCTTGAAATGTGCTCTATAAAACAGCACAATGTACAGGCAGTGAGAAGTGTTCTGTAAAACCAGAGATGGTAAGAGCCTTGTTCTGTGAGCTGCTATGTGAAGTGAATGTGAATTTAGGACAAAAGAGTAGCAGACTGAAACATCACAGTCTGCTGTCTCTTCCACTAGTCCATAAGACTTTGTTGAAAGCTCCTGGATGGGTTCTCTTTGATGTTTATTTCCTTATTTATTTCCATTTCCTCAACTATGCTGAGGAGGCTGATACTTAATTTTACAGAAATATTAAGTGTACATACATAGCGTAACATGAGGGATGATTCTGGACTCAGATCACATTGTAATCTGTTCTGTGGAATCCACTGCCAATACTAGAGTGCAGCATGCACTTTATGAATGGCAGCAGAGTCCACTGAATGAACTATTGTCACTTACAGTGACACTGTGACAGGGGCAAATATTGTCACCATAAAGCACAGTTTTCAAACAAAACTAGTTTCAAGTAGTTAAAGAAAATACTTTTACACAGAAAGCAAGAGAAGAAAAACTGCAATCAATAGAATGAGAAAGTGGTAATTACACTGCAGCATCAAGTGCTCAAAGCCGTTGCAAAAGAATATTTATTACATCCATTAAACACATATTACTCTTCTAAGGCAATGTATGTAAAATTCTGCTTTCTAAATGGTATAGTTTCATAAGGGTAGGCTTGTCCTGATCCTACAACAGCTTCATCAGAAAGTTTTGTAAATAAGAAAATAATGCAAAAGAGCCTGAGCAATAAGAAATCATTCCAAATTAGAGAAACAGCCTCAAACAAAAAACAGCAAGCCACAGAAAGTAAACCAACAACTAACAGGAATTTTGACACTGCCTTCAGCATAAGATAGACTAGATCCTTACAGCTGTGTTACGCAGCAACTTCTAAAAAAAGAGAAGTACTGAATACTGCAACATTTTAAGCATTAACATTGTAACAAATTATTTCTGAAGTTTCACTTGTAAAGTCACAAATGATCTTTTGTACAGTGCCAAAAGGTATACAATGTGTATAAAAATATTGTAACAAATTATTTCTGAAGTTTCACTTGTAAAGTCACAAATGATCTTTTGTACAGTGCCAAAAGGTATACAATGTGTATAAAAATATTGTA